GCCTAGCATGGTGCAGGGGATATTCAGGCTTCTGTCCTGGCATCCACCTCTTTTCCAGCCCCATCTCACATATGTTACACCTTTTCCTACCAGGCAGAGTCAGGAAACTAATAGAGAGGCCTTTGCAGAATGTGCCTTTGTTTTTGCTATGCCCTGGCCTATTGCCCTCTTCTGCCCACTGTGCTCTCCCACCTGTCACTGCCAGTCTTTCACTCAGGCATCACCTCCTCCAAGAAGTGTTCCATGATCCTTCCCAGGCACAACTAATCTCCAGCTCTTTATGCATCCTTGATAGCCCTTTCCGGGAATGTCCCCAGCATGCCATTTAGACTAGTCACTCATCTCTGCATTGTCCCCCCACTCCAGTGTCTCATCATTTTGGGGTTATTTCAAGGGTATGTGTGTACATCAAGATGTCAGAGGACAACTTTTGGGAGTCCTTTCTCTCCTTTGACTATGTGGGTTCTGGGGATCAAACTCAGGCTTAGCAGTAAACCCTTTTCCTCACTTAAGCCATCTTTCTAGTGTGTGTTTGTGAGTCTGTCTGTCTGTCTGTCTGTCTGTGTTTGTCTGAGTCAAAAACAAGTAATAGACTGGAAGAACTAAGAGAGGAAAAGCCAGCTGAGCATGGTGATCGATGCGTGTCTCTAACACCAGCACTCTGGAGGCAGAAGCATGTGGAGTTCCAGACCAGCCAAGGCTACAATAGAGAGACCCTGTCTCGAAAAAAGACAGGGAGGGGTGAAAGTTCAGTGCCCAAATCTCCCCGAAGTAATCCTAAACGCAGTACATAGAGGGGTATGTCAGGGAACCTGTTGAAACTCTCCGGACAAGGTGGCTTTCAGAGGGCGGCCTTCAAGTAGGACTCCTTCCAGGAGTCCCAGAAACACTGAAAAATCAGAGTGACTCTTGGGAGATCACTCAACTCCATTGTCCTTGCCTTCAGCATCCGCTTCAGTTGCATGTTCACATGTCCGTGATGCCTGTCCTTACATAGGACATTCCCAACATGGAGGGACACGTGCACACAGGTGTATAAACATGTACAGGTGTGGGAATGAGGACTTGCTCAGGGAAAGATGGAAGGGGAGGTGGGAGGCGTGGTCGCAGCATATTGGTGGGTGCCTGCGGGTAAGGAGCCTGTCCAGTTCCACCGGCAAGTGTTGTAGGTCCCTCGTCAAGCCATAGGTCAGGGCACAGATTCTGAAAAGTTGAGGGTCTGCACCACGCCCCTGACCTCTTTGGTCCCAGCTGGGAACCTCCTATGACCCTTTGCTGAACCCCTACTGGTATTTCTCCTTGTCGGGTATAGTTAAACCCCACAGAAATTCCTTGCATGTTGAATTACCTCATAGGCCCGATAACCTGAAAATGCCAGAGAAGTAGCTCCGTCTTCAGGCAACTGGTCTGCCCTGGTGTCTGGAACACATAAAGATCTCTCTCCTCACCTGTTCACACCCTTTGCTTTGAAGGAAGAGAAGGGAAGCCCAGAGAGGGAAGGACCTCTCTCTTCCGGACCTGCCATTGAAGTCCTCTTCTGGAGGCATAGAGCAGGGGAGTGGAGGTCAAGCCTTAGCACAGGCCGTAGGAGGAAGTGGGTGTGGTGCATGGCTGCTTAAAGGGAGAGTATGCGCTCCACTTACAGGGAGAGTGGCTCTCTGGGCAGCCTGAGCATTGCCCAGACAAAGACCACTGAAGCTGCTAGAGCGTGAGGGCGCAGTAAATGGGACGCAGAGGTTCCTCGAGGAGGCACTAAGAGGTTAAGTCTTAGAAGCGGTTGGTGTCCCGGGGCCAGGTGCATACTGGAATTGGGGGTTCAGAGGTCTGGGAGAGCAGAGTGGAGAATGGTGAGAGCACCGGTCGCTATGGCAACAAGGCATCCTAGAGGTGTGTGAGAGCTGTGCTGGACACCCTGACATGCTGACCAGCCGTAGATCAGTCAGGGTGAGCTGTCATTAAGTCCGCAGGCATGCGCCATCCCAGCATGCTGAGCTCTGAACTCAGCAGTGAGTTTTCCTCAGCAGCCTTCCTTCCCTGACTGCACCGAGTGTTCCTCCTCTCCCTGACCCCACAGGACTTTGCTTGGCATGGCCATCTACCTACAGATCACATGGTTAGGACCTGTCTCCTCCACTCCAGCAGGCTTTTAGGGTGGATCAGGGCTATTCTGTTCTCTGCCTTGTTCCTTTTCCCTCAGCTGGGCTGACTGGCACCTTAGTATTTGGTTCAGTTTTCTAGAGTTGAACCTAGCTAGGTCTGTGTTCTACTCACCATAGCATTCTCCTTTCACCAAGAACAAACTCCCCCACCCACCCACCAAAGCCTTTGATTCTTCACCATCCTCCCCCAGATTCTGCCTGGGCCCCTGGCTGGCCAAGTGCTAGAAGCTGAGCAGGCAGTGGGAGGGAAGGTAAGAAGGAAGGCTATGCTCTGGGCAGCATAGCCGAGGATGAGAAAGCCTCCTGCTGCCTGGTCGCAGGCACCATGGGAAGGTTCTGGCAGGAACCGCCTGCTGGGCTGAGATCACCATGGAGACCTGGCTTGCAGAGGGTCACTGGCAGTGGCTAAGGGCTGGTGGGGGTGGGAGTGGAGGGGACTTTCACAGAATTTGTGCTCTGGGCCCTTGGAGGAGCAGGCAAAGCTGGGGTTCATCACTGTCGGTGTGCCAAATGGTTTGCAGCAGCCCCCACCCCCCTCCCCTTCTAGTTACCTAGAAGATTCTTCCTCTTGGCAACTGTCCTTCAACTGCAGTGAAGCCAGCTTCTGGATCGAGGCCCTCATTGCTGGCTGAACCTGGCGCCCCCACATGTCATAGCCCTTTCCCTTCGTCTCTGCTATTGGCTGAGCTTGTCACCCTAACTGCAGAGAGCTGACATTCACCCCTGCAGCTCTCCTGCTCCCAAGGGCGAGCCGCCCTCCTGCTCACCACCCCAATCATGCTACATCTGTCACCTTAGAGACGCATTGGCTCGTCTTCCCCTAGTACCCCTTCCCATGGTACAGCTCTGGTGCCGTCGTCCTCAGCCCTGCCCCTCCCTGTGCTTCCCTCTGCCTGGTCTAATCCAACCAAGATGGGGTGCTCCCCCTTCCCTGCGGGAACCCACCTGGTGTCCCTGGCCCTGTGGGGTGGGGGGAAGGTCCTGGCTAGTCCAAACAGAGGACAAAAGTCATCCCTGGGGCTGATTGCCCAGCAGACAGCAGCTGAGGCTGAGCGGAATGCCAATGTGGCCCTGTTGGAGAGGAAAGCTAAGAAAGGACAAGGGAGAGAGGCTTTCTGTCCCTGCCTGGCTCCTGCGGCTGTGGGGGAGGACAGGTGGCATGCAGAGGAGGCTGAGGAGGCAGTTTAGCACCCCAGCCTTGCTCCTGATTCTGGAGGAAATAGTCTCTCACTTGGGGGTGGGAAGCCAGAGTTCCAGACCTCTGAGAGGCAGGCAGTCTAAGGGCCCAGGGTTCTAGGAATGACCCAAGCCAGCCCTGCCGTGGCTGTCTTGTCCCTTAGAGCAGCAGAGCTGTAGATCTGGGCGGGGGGCAGGGGGGTTGGGCCGTGCTGGTGGTCTGGATAGAGAAGATAAGTTTCACACACGTGATCAGAACTGTCTTTTGAAAGGAGGTACTTTCGTGGTTGTGGGGACTGGGGAGTTTCCGAGCTTCAGGGAGGCTGTGTCTCCACCAACACAGATGGCATTGTGTCAGATGATTTTTTTATTCCTTCATTCACCTCATCTCTCCTGGGAGCAGAGTGGGTGAGGGGTCCTGGGAAGAGGGTGGATTTAAAATAAATATCGGGGATTCACACCTGTGTGGGGCTGTGCCGAGTGAGGCTCTGTCCTTGGCACTCTTTCCAATCTTGGAGGTTTGAGGCATTCCCCAACGAGCTCATTATTAACATTTGGAAACTGAGGCTTGGAGATCCCTATCAGGCCCCAGGAAAACAATAAATGTGATAGTTACTTTAAATGTATTTCACATTTGTGTTCAGTCGTTCTCTGATTTAAACCACTGGATCCAGCGACAAAACCTAGAAAATCAGGATGTCCTGTGTTCTGGCTACAAGCAAACCATGTTGGGACTCAAACCCAGGGCTTTGTACATGTTAGGCTAGCGCTCTACTAAGTGAAATATTTCCCCAGCCCTGGTTGGTGGTTTGACGAAATCTGACTGCCCCTCAGGCTAACATTGAACTCAAGATTTTCCTGTCTTAGTCTCTTAAGTGTTGGCATTTTAGGTGTGGGCCACACTGTCTGGCTTTTTAGTATTCCCTTCTTGCTAATGAGTAAAGTAAGCTAGGCACTGTGGTGGCACCTTTAAGTCCCAGACCTGGGAGGCAAAGGCAAGTGGGTCTCTAGGCTCAAGGCCAGCCAGGGTTCTGTGCTGAGGCCCTGTCTCACAACAGCAAAACTCACACAGCTTTTAAATGGTGGTGTGTGGACTTAGCTAGCTCCAACTCCAGAGTCTAGATTCTCAGTAAACCCAACTTTAGGACCCTGATACCGCATGCAACCTGTCTTTTTTTTTTTTTTTTTTTTTTTTGGGGGGGGGGGTCTCTTTTGTTTTTCAAGACAGGGTTTTTCTGTGTAGCTCAGGCTGTCCTGGAACTTGCTTTATAGACCACACTGGCCTTGAACTCCAGAGAGCCACCAGTTTTTCGAAGTCTTTCAGCTCTTGGAATGATCTTGGGCATTTACAGATGGTCAGACTGCACTACTGATTGCAGTTCTCCAGAGTGAAGGAGAGCAAAGCTAGCCTTGGTATACATCAAGTTTGAGGCTAACCTGGACTACATGAGACTAAACGAAAGCAACCAAATTAGGAAACTGAGCTTGGAAAACACAGAACAGGCCCAAAATCACATAGTGGCCTGTCTGGAGAAGGAACGATGTTAGCTTCTCCAGAATTTTAGTAGGAACCGAGCCAAGCCTCTTTAGCTGCCCCCCCCCCCCTTTGGAATTCAGTGTCTCTCTGCTGTTGACTTCTGCTTCTTCTCTTGTGTTTCTTTGCAGCTTTCAGAAAACCAATGCCAAGACCCCTCCCAGCGTCCACATCGTCCTCTGGCAGGAGCACCTGCCCCTCTGCCTCCCACGTGCCCCTTTGCACTCCCTTCCCTGCAGCCTCATGCCCCACCCCCCGCCCCTCCCTGTCCATCTCCTCCACGCAGAAGCCGAAGGTGAGCCCTTTCTGCACAAAACCAGCAATTGTAAATACTTTTTAAAATGTATAAAACTTAAAAACAAAACACAGTTTTAGAAAAAGACAAAAAAAAAGAGAGAGAGAGAGAGAGCGTGTGCAAGAGGTTGCAAGCGGGGGTTTCGAGGTGTCCAGAGCCCCTGCAAGTGTGCACTGAGAAATTTATCTACAGGTCGTTTGACAAAAATGAACAATATCCTATTTATTGTATATACTGTTTTATTATAAATTGTGGATTGTATATTGCATTCTGTAAACCTGCTGTGGTCCCGTGGTGTGCAAATTCGCATGGTGGGGGGAGGGAGAACCTCTTTTGGGAGCTTTCTTTTTTCCTTTTTTTTTTTTTTTCCACTCTTGGGTTTTCTCTTCTGTTGTTGTTGTTTTCTGTTGGCAGGACACACCCAAAGATCCAAGTTTGTATTAAAAAGAAATGAAAAAAGCAAAAAAAAAAAAAAAACAAAAAAAACAAAAAACAAAAAAAAGAGAACACCTTGTGTCTTGTAAAACAGGGTATGTGCGATGGGGGATGGATGGAAAGGGGCAGCGGCCACAGGTCCTTTAGAAGGGCTGAAATGCCTACGTGTGTTCCTGTGCTCTCAACCCAAGTTCTCCCATCCCAAAAGATACCTGCATACCCATCCCCTCCCCCACTCCAGACTCTGTGTGTCTTCTACCTCTGAGCACCCATTCTACTCCCTAGAGCTTTAGAGACGTGTTTATTTGATCTCTGTGTATGAGTGTTTTGCCTGCATGTATGTTATGTGCACAGCATGTCACATGCTTGAAGGTCAGAAAAGGACATGGTGTCACCTACAACTAGAGTTACAGAGAGTGATAAGCTGCCATTCGGATGCTGGGACTCAAATCCATGTCCTCTGCAAGAGCAGTAAGTGTTCCTAACTGCCGGGCCATTGCTTGACATTCCCCCCATTTCTGTCCTAAATCCTATGCCTTCCAAAACCGGGTTTCCTCTTGTTGAGGAGCCCCACAATAAACTTGGTCTCTATCTTCTAGATTCCCTCATTCCACCTCAGGTCCCAGGGCACTACCCCTAAAATCTCTTCATTGGTCCTGCCCCCCTTGCCATTAGGCCCCAGGGTTCTAGCATGAGTCCAAGATGCCAGTCTTTATTTTACTTTACTGAGACAGTGTCTGTGTAGCCCCAGCTGTCCTTGATGTTACTATGTAGACCAGGCTGGCCTTGAGCTCGGAGATCTACCTGCCTTCACCTTCCAAGAGCTGGGATTACAGGTGTGCAATGCCACACCCAGCAGCAGCAATCTTTGAAACACTCCATAGTAAGTCCGAAAACCTTTTGGGATTGGAGTTGCGTGACTCCCTCCTACTATGAATCTTCTGTTCACCCCAGGTCCTAAGTCTCCCCTATCTCCAGCCCCCATGGTCTCATTTGCTGTGACATACCCAGTGTCCCTTCATGTTCCCTGGAATTCTAAATGCTACCCCTGCTTCCTCCCAGCTTTGTAGCAGAACTAACCCCATGCCTCCTGGCTGAAAAGGCTGATTACTTCTCCCTGACCATGGCAAGCCTGGCTCACAGTTTCCTTCACTCCAGTGTCCACTTGGGCCTGGCCTTGAGGGTTTTCAGGAGCGTGTTCCCCCATGACCCACATGACGTTGACACTCTACTGAGTGTGACTTACCTGTTCCTCTTCCTTGGTGACAGAGTGATGCCAGGCCATGTTCCATGTGTCTCCCTGCCCCTAGCAGCAAGGCCCAGGCGTTGGGGTCGTCAGGGGAGCCCAGTGAGAGGCAAACATGCCCCCACCTTCTGGATACCCCTGCCTGGATGAGGCAGAAGGATTCACAGGTCACAGTTCCTGAAAACTGCATCCTCCGATGGATGTGAACGCCATCTGCTACACAGCCCCCTCCACACATCCTCAAGATGCAGACCTTGGCCTACCCTTCCTGCCTGCCGTGGGGAGACAACACTACTCTCAAGCTGACAGTCCCCTGCGGAGCTGGAAGTGGGGACAGGAAGCAGTAAGACCCGCTGAGAGGTCAGGTCAGGGAAGGGGCTTTCCAGAGGAGAAAGCTTTTTAAAAACCACACCTAGGGTGGAAACAGAAAAATGAGTGATTTCTGAAGTAGGAAAGACTTGGTGCAAAGGCCAGGGGCGGGAAGAGAATGGCAGGAGGCAGAAGCAGCGGGTAGAGCTAACTTCACTAGGCGAGACGTGCTTGAGAGAGTGGAGTGGACTCGTTCTGGCAAGGTCACACTGGAGTGGAGGCAGAAATGGTAGAAAGAGATTGGGCGTCAGAAAATCCAGTGGGGAGGTAGGTTAGGTGAGCTGGTTTAAGTAGCTCAGCGACAGAATGTTTGCCTAGCAGGCACAGGCCCTGGGTTCAGCTGCCCACACCAAAACAAAATACAAAGCCAGGAAGGCTGGGGTGGACCAACCCAGACGTCCGTTTGCAATCTGTGAAGAGAGAGAGTGCATCTGTCTAGTGGCTGCTGAGGGGCAGAAAAGGGAGACTAGCCAGGTGGAGCTGGCATCTCTGTCAGGTGGGATTCAGTTAGAGGTAAGCTGGGGGTCCCTGAGGACCCAGGGGATGTGCTGTGGAGGGGTTATGCAATGGAAGGGTTTGCAGCTCAGCACATGTGGATCTTAAGGGGAGGAAGGATAGTAAGGGGCTGTGTGTACAGAGCAGAGGCGGAGAGAGGAGCTCAGGGAGGTAGCAACAGCAGAGGCCTGGGAAGGAAGGACGGTACCGGGGAGGGCCTTGGTGAGAACCTGGTGCTCCATGAGGCCATGAGGTAACAAGAGGTTGAGAGTGTAGGTCAGTGAGCTCTTGCCTAGTTTGTGCAAGCCCTGTTTAATAATTTATTTAATTTTTATTTTATGTGCATTAGCGTGAGGGTGTCAGATGCCGTGGAACTGGCATTACAGACAGTTGTGAGCTGCCATGGGGGTGCTGGGAATTGAACCTGGATCCTTTGGAAGAGCAGGCAGTGCTCTTAACCACTGGGCCATCTCTCCAGCCCCAAGCCCTGATTCTTAATGTGACGGAAGGAGAAGTGTCTGGGAGGAAGGAGAGTCCATGCGGGTGGGGATGAGGACTCCCAAGTTGTATTTCTGAGAGCAGGCTTTGGAGCTTTGGAGATGGAAAGGTTTTCAGGCCCTAGAATCCCTGAGAAAAGAGAGCTGCAAGAGCCCCTGCCCAGGTAAGTGACTCAGTGATGGAGGTCACCCTGCTTTGTTCTGTTTTCAGAGGTTGGGCCTTCACCATAGCCAAGGTATCCTAGCTGGGCCTGGTGGTGTGGGCCTTTCATCCCAGCTACTTGGCAGGCTGAGGCAGGAGGATCTCAGGACTAAGGTCTAGGCTATGAAGTAAATCCAAAGCCTGCTGGACAGTTTAGCAATAGTGTCTTTAAAAAGCAAAAAGCTGGGCAGTGGTGGTGCACACCTTCAGTGCCAGCAATCAGGAGGCAGGGGCAGGCAGATCTCTGAGTTCAAGGCCAGCTCAGTCTACAGCAAATTCCAGGACAGCCAGAGCTGCAGAGAAATCCTGTCTTGAAAAAACAACAAAACTGAAAGGAACATCTACAAACACACCATGGTATAGATAGATAAATACAAAGGAAATAACTCAGTCTAAAGTGCTTGTCATATAAGCATAAAGACTTTGAGTTTCATCCCCAGAACACATGGGGAGGGGGATGACAGCACATTTTTGTCATCCTAACACTGGGGAGATGGAGGCAGGAACATCCTTGGGGCTTCCTGGCCAGCCAATAAAGCCTACTTGTTGGGTTCCAGGCCCGTGAGAAGTGCTGGCTCTAAAACAGAACAGGTAGATAGCATCTGAGGAAAACCACCTGATGGTGCTGTCTGGCCTCTAGAAACACGAACACAGAAAGAGGGTTGAGGATGTAATATAGGTAGGGTCCCTGGCAAGATGGCCTACGTTCAGTCACTAGCACCAAATAAAACAATAAAGATGCTGCCTGGATGATTTGGATTTGGCTACCGTTACTAATGCTTCTCTGGGGTATCCATTCTCCAAGAGAATCTGATCTGAAATCAAGAACGATCCTCCCGTCTGTAGAGGACAAGACAGGTTCTCAGTGGCTGGGGTGACTTGTCCAAAGAATGGAAGACACCGTAGACTAGCCTGAAGACTGCTGCCTAAGCTGTCGCTGTCTTGTGCAGACATGAAGAAACGAACCTGCTTAGCACTGGGGACAAGGAGACACGGTGCCTTGGGGGTTGGCCCGAGTGAGATGGGGCCAAAGTCTGATTCACAGCATGGGCGGGGAGCTGCTTATGAAAGCTACAAATGGGTCCATCCTATAATAAAAGCTCGGTGATGAGAGCGTGCCTGGTAAGCTTGAGGCTCTGGGTTCGTTCTCCAGCACGACAAAATAATGAAAAAAATTTGAGTGTCGTGTGTGTGTGTGTGTGTGTGTGTGTGTGTGTACCAGCTATCCTGAGCATATTTACATAAACAGTAACCCAAGTATCCTATCTTACATATGGGAAATTCAAGTACAGGGAGGGGGTATTCCTCAGCAGCAGAGTACTTGCTGGTAGAGGCCCTGGATTCAATAAATCATTTGAAAAACAATTGGGAAGGGGTCAGTTTTGTGCTCCCCTAGCAAGCATGAAGCCATAGTATCATAAATCCCCAACACCACATAAACACAGTGCCGTGGCACTTGCCTGAAATCTCAGCCCTCAGGAGGTTGAGGCAGTAGGATCGAAAGTTCGAAGTATAAGGGAGCTTGTATAAGGGAGTTCAAGGTCAGCCTGGGCAATGTGGTCATGAAAATGAACCTGGAAGAGAAAAGAGGAACCTGGGCCCAGGAGGTGTGTCAGTGGGTAAAGGCTTCTGCCCTCAAGCCTGACAGCCTACGAGTGATCCCCAGGGTCCACAAGGTAGGACACAAGAAACCCTCAAGTGCAGAGACTTGGCAGTTTGCAAAGACCAGCCAGTAAAATGGTGAGGCCAGAATTGAGCAATCTGGTCCGGGAGCTACTACAGTTTGCTGTAGTGTTGAAAGTGGAAACCCAGAAGCTGGGGTCTTACTCATTAGTAGAGTGCTTACCTAGCATAGGCAAGGCTCAGAGTTCAATCTCTAGCACAAAGGGGGCCCCAACCTGCTCTAATTGTGCCACAGTAGACCACGGCAGTTCTCTAGCCTTTTCGCTCATATCAGTGGTTCTTGACCACCTTTTGAGAGAAGCCACCTGGAGAAGGTCAGAGTTCTGATGCCTGTACTCCATGACACAGGAGCTAGCACTCAGGAGGTCGGAAGGCAGGATGATTTCAAGTTCAGCCTGGGCAGTGTATGAGACCCTGGTTTTTTGTTTTGTTTTTTCAAGACAAGGTTTCTCTGTGTAGCCTTGGCTGTCCTGGACTCATTCTGTAGACTAGGCTGATCTGGAACTCACTGCGATCCACCTCCCAAGTGCTGGGATTACAGGCTTGCGCCAAAACAACAAAAAGATGCTGCTCATGGTCAAAACTAAGGCAAGTAGATTCATTTGCCTGGTATAGGGTCTGGCCGTGGGTTTTTCTTCTTTCTTCCTTTTTTTTTTTTTTTTTTAGCTCCTTGGGTGTTTGCAGTGTGCAGCCAGAGTTGGTCTCCTCTAATCTAGCTGTTGTACTGAGCATTTGCTCAAGCATCCGCCTTTTTACACTCACCCATATTTAGTATGCCATCCTAGGTATGTCTGCGTGTACACTGCGCTGCCCAAGACCATCCTCACCCTGGAATTTCCAGACACCAGCCCAGGCATTTGAGGACGACAACAGTGAACAAGACAAATGTATTGTTTTCCTTCACGCAATGTCTGATGGCATTGTTATATTTGGTGTTGTCTCCTCTGAATGGCGGGGGTTCGGAACCCCATAAGGACTGCCTGGTAAAGCTTTGGACAGGAGAGACTTGCTCTTGTAGCTGTGTTCTGACCCACTGGACAGAGATGAAGAGCAGGATGTTATGGTATAGAGGCAGGCGGATCTGTCTCTGAGTTCGAGGCCAGCCTGGTCTTCATTCCAAGCTCCAGGCCAGCCAACTCTTCCTGTCACAAAGGAAACAAACAGCTGTGAAGAGAGAGGGTCTCTCATAGTTTTGAGTGACTGGCTGTGTTGTGCATGTGGGTAACCTGGACCCTTTAAAATGTGGACAGCAGGGAGGGGTGCACAAGGTAGGCAACAGCCCAGAGCCGGGCAGAGCACACACACAGAGCCAGCTGTGAGGAGGCTGGGTTCCAGTACGAGCCAGGAGGGTATGTGGGGGAGGCACAGCTGGGGCTGGAAACTGCAGAGTGGGAGGGAGGCTGGGGAGCCGCATCCTTGATCTCTGTTCTGTTTCAGTAGTTCCGGACTTGGTGCTCTGGGTCTCTGTGTGGCTCTGGGTGTCCCTCTCTGTAATGTCAGGATCTTGGCATCTGTTTCTCTTCTGGGTTTGGGGCTAGGAGGCTGATCACGTGGCTCTGGGTCTCCACCTCTCCAGCCTGCTTGGCTTTGTGTCCCCCTCTATGTCTCTGTCTCTACCTCCATGTCTGCCTCTGTCCTTTCTTGTCCTTGCCAGGTGGGGGGAAGGGCCCAGTACTCAGAGAGCAGGTGTGGGCTCACTCAGGCAGCAGGGAGTGAAGCCCGGGAGGGCCAGGAGCCAGCAGCCCCTGGACACGAGCACACTCCAGGATACACATTCCAAGTGCTCACAGGAACACACAATGAATGTAAGCACAAGGGTGGATCCTGAAGACTTTCACAGGAACACACACAGGTACAAAACTAAACATACAGTCACTCCCAGAAGGCACACAGGGATGCCGGACTGGATTCGGTGGCTCATTTGCAGATATCCACGGCTCACGCGCACACAGGCTTCAGGAAAAACCCTCAGACAAATCCTCATCCAGACACAGAGAAAACCCCGGAGCCACAGATACGCACAGGGACACAAACACACGTCTTCAGGCACAGACACAAGACAAAAAGCACAGGCAGGCACACAGGGCCACTCAGCACACTCGAAACCACACTCGGGCGTAAGGAGGGCAAAGCACACAGAAGCATAAACCCTCCAGGCAATCAGAGACAGAGGGACCCACGAGGGGCCTAGGCAGAACAGCCTCAGGTACACACTCCTCCCTCGGGGCTCACTTAGGGACACGCCCATAGGTGACAGGGGGTGACTGGGGCTCTAGCGCACCTGGCGCCCTGGGCGCGCCCCCAGGCGCCAGGCGGCCCGGCTGAGCGTGCCCGTGCGCGTGAGCGCGGGCGTGCGTGCCCGGCTGTGCGCGCCACCACCTGTGGGAGGAGAAGCGCGCACTGCGCCCCCGGGCTGCGGGCTGCGCGGTGGGGGGAGCGGTTGCCATGGCGCGCCGAGCGCGGCCGCATACTAATGGGCGGCCACGGGCACTGCCCCCTCAGCTGCCCCCCACTGGCCGCTCTCTCCTCCCACTCCTTCCTCCAGCTTCCGCTGTCACTCGGGCGCGCGCCCTCGGCCCACGCGCTCCGCTCAGATCCTGAGTCCTTTGGGTCTGGGACACTATTGCCTCATCTGTCCCCGCTTTAGGTCCAGCCGTGCCCAAGGGCGCCGGGCTGGCCCTGCGGAACTACCTGCCTGGGCGGGCGGGCGCAGGCAGCAATCGGGCTTTGCAACAGGAAGCACAAGTCAACCTTGGAAATAAGGCGACCACCCCTAAGGCAGGACAGGGCCGAAGAAAGGGACACCCAGACCCTGCAGTCTGATCAAAGACCAACACAGTGGCACCTCTCTCCGGCTTCCAGCAATTCTCCAAGCCTCCTGTGGCATTGGGGTTGGGGTATTTGGTTACCACCCCAGCTAAGTAGGCCTTCCATCTCTAGGACCTGCCCCTGGGCCCTCAAGTTTAGCCCTAACGAGGTGAGGTGGGAACTGAAGAGTGCCGAGGCCAGGGTAGAGCGCCCACTGGAAAGATTCACACCTCCTGCTGGATTCCAGTCCCAAAGCTGCCCTGACTCTCTACCCCACTGTATTCACTGCCTTGGGGGTGACCGGAGGCCCTGTGGGGTGGGGGCGCCAGCAGAGGGTTTGCAGGTAAAGGCAGTGAGAGGGGAGCCCAATGGGGGGGGGGGAGAGAGACAGGCGGTTGCCTAGCAACCCCACAGCTGTCTGTTGACCTAGAAGAAGCTGCGCTGTCTTGACACAGCTGGTGTTTACATGTAACCGAGGCTCTGGCTTAGTGCTTGCTTGGAGCAAAGCTGAGGCAGGGCCCTCGTGGCAGCCTGGCCCCAACCTCGCCTATTGTGGGCTCCGCGCCTGCCTGCCCTGTTTACTTCGCTCCCATCTTAAGTCGCAAGTCCCACAGAGGAAGAGCAGAAATCTCAGGGCTGGAGGCTTTGCGCATGCGCACATGCACACACACACACACACACACACACACACACACACACACACACACACCCCTAAGGCCTTCAACACAGGATTGGGAGAGACTAAGGAAAGCACACTGGGGCTTGAGGCGTGGCTCAGCAGTGAAGAACACCGTGAGGATGCTATTCCAGGGGCCACAGGAGGTACCGTTCTCAGCACCCACACGACAGCTCACAACTGCCTGTAGTTTCAGTTCCGGGAGAACTGACGCCCTCTTCTGGCTTTTGTGAGCCAAGAGGTGCACGAGCACATACACAGTACATAGGCTCGGTACAGGTACGAGCATGGCGCCCAAAAACACAAGCAGGCAACACGCAGACATTTAAAAACACGTGTCTTTAGAAAAGAAAAACAGAAGGCTACAACACGCCAGTGCCACAGAGAACGCCAACATACACGGGGGCACCTGGTCCCAGGTCGAAGGGGTATAGGCACATGCCGAAAGGTGGTCATGCCTGTAAGTCCTGGCATTTAAGAGGGGGAGGCTGTAAGATCAGGAGTCTGTGGTGAGTCTTTGGTTCATGAAGGATTTCAGGCTAGCCTGGACTACATGAGACCCTGGCACAAAACAAAATGAAATAATAATAATAATAATAATAATAATAATAATAATAATAATAATAATAA